ATCACTTGTGAAAATAACTTCCATACGCAACGAAAGCCACGGGGAGGGTGTGGGGTTCTGTCATAGTATTCACTTGTAATGATTTACAATTAAACTAATTATTTATAATTATAATTTATACCTTTATTACACTTATTAACCAAACTTAAAATTAAATGTATTGATTCTTTGCGGTAGTATTAAAGACTTATTTTATCTTATCTTATGTGAATAATATATGTCATCCACCATGGGGCCAATTTATACCATGGTGAATGTTTAGCGTATTCATTTCTTTTCAGTGTAAAGAACAACATCCTCGATTTAGAGCGTTTCTACGTCGTTACGACAGAAAACCAGATACCAAGATGTTGACTTTACAAGAACTGTTCTTGCCGCCAACTAGACGTATAGCAGAGTATGTTTCGTTACTGCTAGCTTTGGAAAGATACACACCAATTGATCATGCAGATAGACAGGACATATCAACTGCTATTATGAAATTCACTGAGTTACAGAAATATATTGATGGTGTAAGTATTGTAGTTCAATGAGCGTATTTTGTTACCTGGTATGATTAACCAGTTATACTCCACTATGGAATGATTATGCAAAGTGAAATTTCCATAACTGACGAATGAGAGATAAGTATTTTGTCACCTGGTATGATTCACAAATTATACTCCACTATGGAATGATTATGCAAAGTGAAATTTCCATCACTGACGAATGAGAGATAAGTATTTTGTCACCTGGTATAATTAACAAATTGTACTCTACTATGGAATGATTATGCAAAGTGAAATTTTCATCACTGACCAATGAGAGATAAGTATTTTGTCACCTGGTATGATTACCTAATTATGGAATGAATATGCAAAGTGAAATTTTCATCACTGACCAATGAGAGATAAGTATTTTGTCACCTGGTATGATTACCTACCAGTAATTATGGAATGAATATGCAAAGTGAAATTTTCATCACTGACCAATGAGAGATAAGTATTTTGTCACCTGGTATGATTAACAAATTGTACTCTACTATGGAATGATTATGCAAAGTGAAATTTTCATCACTGACCAATGAGAGATTAGTATTTTGTCACCTGGTATGATTACCTAATTATGGAATGAATATGCAAAGTGAAATTTTCATCACTGACCAATGAGAGAGAAGTATTTTGTTACCTGGTATGATTAACAAATTATATTCCACTATGGAATGAATATGCAAAATGAAATTTCCATCACTGACCAATGAGATATAAGTATTTTGTCACCTGGTATGATTACCTAATTATGGAATGAATATGCAAAGTGAAATTTTCATCACTGGACCAATAAAAGATAAGTATTTTGTTACCTGGTATGATTAACAAATTATATTCCACTATGGAATGAATATGCAAAATGAAATTTCCATCACTGACCAATGAGATGTAAGTATTTTGTCACCTGGTATGTTTACCTAATTATGGAATGAATATGCAAAGTGAAATTTTCATCACTGGACCAATAAAAGATAAGTATTTTGTTTCCTGGTATGATTAACAAATTATATTCCACTATGGAATGAATATGCAAAATGAAATTTCCATCACTGACCAATGAGATACAAGTATTTTGTCACCTGGTATGATTACCTAATTATGGAATGAATATGCAAAGTGAAATTTTCATCACTGGACCAATAAAAAATAAGTATTTTGTTTCCTGGTATGATTAACAAATTATATTCCACTATGAAATGAATATATGCAAAAGGGCAATTTTCATCTAACATATGTGTTACATGCAAATATAATCAGTCAGTGGTAAGTTACGTAAACAACATTTATTTTTTGTTTACAGTGTAAGTTACGTGCAGAAAGAGAAAGAAAACTGATCCAGTTACAGAAAATAATACTGAATTGTCCTGTGTTATTAGAAGCAAATCGTTATTTGATAAAACATGACAACGTGGCACATTTAGTTGCACAAGCAGATAATATTAAATCTGAATACAAGTAAGTAACCCCTCTCAGTTTTGGATAACCAATAACCAATTTTTAAGTTGGATTGAGCATTTGTGTCATTGAATATTTGTGCATATATATAAATGTATATATCACAGTTTTCACTTTATAAAAAGACGGGAGAAGGAAATTTCAAATTATCATGAATAATCAAAATAAAATTACTGTAGTTGTCCAATACACCGCATATCCAAAACCTCACCCATGGGCGATGTTTCAGCAGGTGGGTGACCTTTTAGAAAATATCTAGTGCAGATCAAAGTTTCAGAAATGTGCCATAAATTCATAATTTTTTTGATTTGGGAGTCATTTTTATAACATTTTAGTCTATATGGCACCTAAATTAGAGTTTTTAATTCACGTATTTCGTAGTCGCTGATGACATTATTCTTGATATCCTGCAACCCTTGTTAACCCTTGTCACATTTAGGTTATAATGGATTAAAATAGTAATACTCACTCAAAATACTCACCCAAAAATATAACCTATCCATTCAAAATATTGCCCATATTGGTCGGTATCAGGCGAAAACCATTATGAAGTATGTTTTATGACAATTTTAAAATAAAAATAAAAAAAACTAATTAGCCTGCATCGATTTTGCAACACAAATTAACAAGTGAAATTTTTTTTAATCACTAGTTTCCTCTTTTCATGAAAAATTCACAAAATACTAGTAGTTCCATAAATAGTCTGCTCTTCCCTTCAGAAGAATGGGATTGACCCTTTAACCTTTTCATCACATGTTCTCTTTTTTCATCACAAATTCACAAAATAGTCCCATTTATAGTCTGCACTTTCCTTAAGAAGAATGGGACAAAAATAGCCAAATTTTTTGAGTACAAACTGAAAATTGACTCAGATTTTGTAGTATTCATTGTCAAATTTCATCAACATTTCGTGTGTTTTGTTCGTTTCAGGATGTATCAGCACATAGAAGATCTGGGTTTATTTTTGTTCAACGATGCGTTAGTGGTGACTATCCGCACAATCAAACATTTCCCGTATGAGAGGTCTGTGGAAGAGAAATTCAAATTCTATGCCTCTATTGGACTAATACGATTGAAAATAGATGACCTACCTGATACAAAATGTGAGTACCCATAAATATTGTCTATTGTCTAAATACTGACAGTGAGTAAACCATCATTTTATTTAAATGAAGCCGA